CCCCCCCCCCCTGTGTGTGCGTTGTCACTTCCATGAAAAATTGGTCACACACCGATACCAACAGGCGACCCCGGTGTACGATCAGCGAAGTGACTTGCGGAGGCCCATTTTCTGACTTTGGTCGGATACGCGCTTATCTATCGATCTATCGGGCAATCATATATTTTATTGAGGCAACCAACATGGAGCTTGGGGCCCCAATTTTGTGTTCTGCGATATCATCTCGAGAGCTCTGGGGAGCGACCTCCGCTGCTGCAGTAACCTTGAATAGGTGGACTTCCTCTGAAACATTGGAAACGGTTGTGCACAGTCACGGTGCCCTCCCTGCTGCACAATGATGTACATAAGGCCACGCAAACCCTTAAGCTTTGCGCACGACCGAGGCGTTGCCGGTACGCCGCCCGCCTACGATACAGGGTACCCCACAAGGAGACCGTACAATCAACCAGCGTGCTACGCAGCCTTCGATGCGCATGCCGGATCAATCGGCGTGGACAACGGCACCCACCCCGTCCGGTTTCATCCCGCCGCTCTCCCACCAATCCGTGCGCGACCCAAAAATTTGCTTTCTCCAACATATGGCACGTACCCTAGGTGCGCTTACACAACACCTCAGTGGACCCAAGACTATTAAGGGGCAGAATGCCATCACCGACACCGAAAACGGGACTGAACAGGGGGTGTGCTACCGTCAGGAGATACACCCAGCGAGCGGGTGAATGCTCCGTCAAATTCGTGACCACTCACGTAGTGCGAATGAACGAGAAGAGCGTTTTAGTCGCCGCGTGTCCAAGATAACGTTGGACAATGGGGAGCGGCTTGGTAGGTGGGAATATTTACGCGTTATGAAAGGCAGACAACTAAACGTGCTTAATTAGATTAGACTATCATGTTGGTCGTCCGTCACCAGCCACAGCGGGGCCAGGGCATAGCGCTCAGACGCTTCACCAAACTTCTACAGAGCCAAAGGGGGCATCACTCATCACATCCAACGCCTGTACCCACCACAATCGCCAACAAGAGGGTGCAAGCAGCAATTTATTCTCCGCCCACGTCGTAATCTAGCGTCGCGAGACAACCCGCGCCCAAGGGCCCAAGCCGTTCCGCAAAAGTATCCCGGTATTTTCCATCGCCTTAACGGCAACATGAATTCAATGCGAAAAAGTTGTTGAAAACGCGGTGAAATCCAGAAAAGACTCCCACGATGCTGGTGTATCTACACATATGCCCGGCCCTTCCATACAAAATGTTTTCGTGTAAAACTACAGAAGAGCTGTAAGACAAGATATCAAGCAACGCCGTTTCTAGCGTACATGTGCCCTACCCTATCGTACACAATCGTTTCGCGCACACCAAGCAACAAACTAAGCAATAAAGGCATGCGTCGCCGGCGTATCACTGTAGTATACTACCATGCACATATTCTTTTGGTGTACAGAAGGTAACAAAACAAGCAAAAAAATGCATGCGCCGCTGGCGTACCTAAGCCCTACCATACCATAAACATAAAGTTCGCGTGCCACAGAGGGTGGCAAAGACAAGTAATAAGAAATGCACGCGCCGGCGTAGTACTGCATGCCCTACCCCAATCATTCACATTTTATTTTCGTGTATAGAAAGCAACAAAACAAGCAATAAACCTATAACGCGCTGCGTGCGTACCCTAACCCTACCCTATCATACACACTATTTTTCGCATAATGTACACAAAGCAAAATGGCACCCGCATTTGCTGCAGGTGGCACTAAAGTGTGCGATCCAGCCCTTGGTTGGAGGTAAGGGGACTTCAAGTCCCTCTCTCTTCCCTCTCCTGTCACGCTATCATCTGCCTACCTAACTATAAATTCCCACGCGGCCTCATCTATCAATACTGTGACCTGTTAATTTCGCGTGAACACTCTCCATCTACGCTATAATAAACCTTCGGAACGCCAAAGGTTTCCCCCGAGCTAAACCTACCCCGTCTGCTCCAGCGCATCCTGCCCTTCCCGGTGGAAGCCCGCGAACCCGCCAAAGTCTTCTTTAGGGTCCGACCCGAACTCCCCCTGGCTCTGGCCGTCCGAGTCGCTCAGGTCACCGTCGCTGATGGTGATGATGCCGGTAGCAGCGGCGGCGGTTCATCAATGCACAGACACGCGGAGGACGCGGGGGCAAAAAAAACAAAAGAGATCTGCTTCGTTGTGAAACACGGAGAAGAAACAAACGGTGATGAGCGAAAATACGCAAGCGAGCGCACCTATCCATGCCCGAAGAAGACCGTGATTGAGCCAGCGAAAAGAAGCGCGGTGAGATGGGTTTGTATCGTTCCTCGCACCCGTCTGTGCCGACAGGAGAAACAATCCCTACAGAAGCGCAGCACGCGGCGCCAAGACAACTCCCCTCCTACTACACGTGGTACATCCACCGACGAAGGCGGTGACTTCAAGCGTAGGCGAATGAATCATGTCTTGGTGGTACTTCACTACCAGTACTCCATGCACTTGGACGCCACGAACAGGAGAATGCATTCCGGTGTGGGTCATGCAACGGTTTGAGAAGCTGCACCAAGTTCAAGACCAAAACCAACCCGAAACAAGTGCAAAAAAACATGCGACAAGCACACAGCAACGCGCTCAACATACCCCCCAAAAGAGACGCATCCTCGGTTGTACCCAACCCGCACGAGAGCATGGCACACCCGGCAAACACCCCACGAGCTGACACGAAACAAAAAAAAGGGCGGGCATCATTCTGTGATTGGTCGAATATTTACTAAAAAAAACTAGTTCAACAGACACCAGTCTATACACCTTCGCATCGTCTGGATCATGCCGCCACCCGAAGAGTTCCGCCGATGCTGCTCCTCCCTCTGCCGGGAAACGCCTCCTCCTCCGTTAACCTCTCCGACCAGCTCCCCGCTTTCCACGGCCCTCACTATGAACTCCCGCACCACATGAGCCGCCAAGTCTAGGTCCGAGTGCCCGTCGGCCTCTTCTTCCTCGCCCGCTTCGGCGACATCTCCCCGTACCGTTTGGAGTGCCCCACCTCCGCCCCCACCTTCCTCGCTAATCCCGCCTCCTCCCGTCCCTACAGCGAATGATCGCTCTCCCCCAGTCCCCCCGCCCCCGCTTTCTTCCGGGACCACAGGCGGCTGGGGCTCGCGGAAGCGTAGGAACCAGTCGAGCTCGAGAAGTTCTACCGGCGTGAGGCGGTCTTCGGGGATGGGCTGGAGGCATCCCCGCAGAACCTGCTCGAACTGAGGGGAGTGCCCGGGGACGAGCTTGATCAGGTCCTCCAACGCTAGGTCTTGCTGAGGGGTTGGGAGAGAAAGGGAGGGTGGGAGGGAGAGTGGGAGGGAGAGAATGCGGAAGAGAGAGTGGGAGAGAGAGAGAGAGAGAGAGAGAGAGAGAGAGAGAGAGAGAGAGAGATCGCACCTCCCTTTGACCGACTTTCCAAGTCGATTGCTCCACGACCGAACGATACTTCGATGGAAAGCCATCGGTAAGATGTTTCCAAAACAACCTCCCATTGACAGTGTTGTGGAGCAATTGAGCTTTGAAGTTTAGTCTACAGGGGTGCCATCTCACCGCTTGTTTATGGCACACTGCTGTCTTGTGCAACCTGCCATTGCTTGTTNGGGGGAGAGAGAGAGAGAAAGAGAAGCGAGAGTGAGAGACAGAGAGACAGAGCCACGCGAGAAAAGGGATGGCGGGCATTTCATTTCATTGACCCAAGAGGGAGGAACGACACGAATAACGGTTAACACGGCCGTGACAAAGCTCCAAGCCGAGGGTAGTGCACGGTCGTGTGAAATTGTTTCGGGTAGGTCAGGTCAGGCAACGGCATGGGTCGTAGCAAGATTGCCAAGGGTCGGGTAGGGGCAGCATGGGTCGTGCACCCCTGCCCGTGCCCGCAACCCCGATAAGCCTTCTCCCCCAAACAAAGAGCGCAAAATGAAAAGATGTAAGAAGCGCAGCTCACCAACACCAGGGCTTGCAAGTTCCACAGCTCGGAACCGTATCGGGACCACGCTGCACGAAAAATCAGGGAACCTAGTGCATGGCAACAACAATCCCCAACATTTCTTTTTCTCGCCTGCAATCTGTCGTGGAGCTCAATCTGCGAAACAGCGCTCTCAAACGGCAGCCTTCGCGTCGCCATCTCGAGCAGCAGCACCCCCAGGGACCACACGTCAGCCGCCACGCCGTACCCATCACCCGCAAGCCTTTCGGGCGACTGCAGTCGTTGCGGCACGATGACGTCAGTGAGGCAACAGACGAAAAACAGTTGTACGAAAAATGTTGTTGGTGACTTGGTCGATTCCAAACAAACCCTCGCCCCGATCAAGATACCACCAGTGATGAACAAACACGCAGAGGCTCTTGAGAAAAGGATCGGGAATCATGGAAACATTTTCAAGAGGAAAACAAGAAACGTTTTCGCAAGTGCTTTCGAGCATCAAGGGTTGGTGGTCAGGGGGCGGGGGCAAGGCCTGGGCTCCTGGCATCAAGACTGCCGGAAATCAGGGACAAATCTCTCGTACAGGTACGGCACGCACGCCGGTTGCAAAGGCACGGAAAAGTGCACGAAAGACCACATCGGTGCACAAAGTATCCCGTGTACTGCTGAAATACCTTAGACCTCAAGCCTTCCCCAGCAATCACTCACCATATAACGTATCGTCCCGACCATCGTCTGCGCTAGGTCCTGAAACGAGAAAAAGGGAACGTGGTGGGCGTGGCGGTAGAGTGAGGTGGCCAGGTCATTCCGGGAGAGCAGAGAGGCCAGAGAAGAAACGGACGCTCCTGCCGTTGTGACTGCTGCTGAGACTACTGTCGAACAAGCGCATCGTTGCGTAAAAAAAAGCGATGTGGTTTGGTGATCACAAGGAAAAACGACCATGGCACCTAGGAAGCAGACGACGTAGCCCCCCGATGAAAACATGAAATTGGGGTCAAGAGGATGAGCTACGTACACAAACAATGGCATCTGGTATGTACGGTGTGCTGGAGGGAGGGGGGTGGGGGGTGTACTCATAGTCGGGCATGCCGAAGTCGTTAGACCATTGACCTCGCATCCCTACAAAGCCGGGACGGAGCACGCCGGGTTCTCACCGGACCAGGCTCTCACATCACCAAGCGCGAAGCGCCGTGAGATATTCGGCGAGTCGCATGAAGGGTGCGCTGCATCCTGCTAAGGGTGTTCGGCATCTTGTGCTTACTTCCTTGCGTACGGATGACAGCTGCGTATGAATTAATTTATTTTCTGGTGCTTTCACTTCCAGAGACAGTTGTCAGCACTGTGTAACTGACTCGAGGGTGCTTGACCATTTTAACACAACGTGGTGCGATCATCCCCCTTGCGCGGAGTGAGGGTTCTCGACCCCGCACAACATGATCTACTCGACCACCGTCATGATTACCGCCAAAAAAAAAACAGAGGAAAAAAAAACAAACGATAACCTGGTTGCCAAGTTCACGAAGTGGATTGGCTTGTCTTACAACGCCGTTGCCAAGCGACGAAAACCCAACCCCGATGGCAAACACCGAGGGGCCGGGGGGTCGAATACCTAAATTATCGCAGCGGCTGTCTTCAAGACAGCACGCCGAGGCTAGACCTTGATATCGAAAACGAATCAAACTTGAAGACCCCACTCACCATCTCTCCCTGCAGCTCACGCGCAATCCCGAAATCGCTCAGCTTCACCTCCCCGTGGCTGAAGCACAAACATCGTCGCAAGTGACACCGTTGGCCGCAAGCGCAGGCAGTTCCATGAAGCGATACACATCCATCACCAGGGGCGGTGAGATCGTCCGAAAGGGGGCACCGTCAGCCGAAAATCCATCGCGGGAAGCAGAGTGCTGTTAGAATGACCTAACCAAGCAGGGTCTTCGATAGCTCGCCACAAAATAGCGCCAACGAGAAGCCATCTCTCGGAACCAATCCCTGGCAATCTCTCAAGCAATTCCACAACGGGGTGCAGATATTGTAACCATCTGGACAACGGGCGTAATGGCAGGGTGAAACAAAACCGCAGCCGCCTCCCGTATGCAAAAACGGCAATTACAGGCGGCATGGGGATAAGGGGAGAAGGCCACACGCGGAATAGGCACTTTGGTGGTCATCTGCTCTCCCACTCGGCCACGGAAGCACCAGGATTTCATAGCCGGGGCATGCATCGAATGTTTCCCGTGGGGGATGCTTGGGTTTTCGTAGACTCCAATCGCGGCTTTGCTCACCTGTTCAGCAGCACGTTCTGGGGCTTGACGTCCCTGTGAACGTGGTGCTCGTAGTGAAGGTAGCCCAGCCCCCAGAGTATCTGCACCGTACGGAAAAAGAGGCGGGGCTGAGATTCGCAGCTGCTACACACACAAAGGGGATCGCTTCCCAACAGAACCCCCAAGGAGCCACCACCCTAAAACGGCAGACGGAAGAATAAAAGGGGAAAACAAACTGGGTTGGGTCTGTACCCCGTCTTTGTCAGACTGAAGAAGCACCGCCCAAAACTAGACCTATGCCCCCTGTATGTTAGCAGGAGCAGCAACCACATGAGCGCGCCAGAACAGAACCCAAGGTCGTGCCTGAAGTGTGATGGCGGCCATGAGGTCCTCCCCGTAGTCCATTCCGCGCCAGCCATGGATCACGTCCGACAAGCTGCCGCGGTCCATGTACTCGAGCACCACGTGAATGCTGCCGTCCTGCAGGCAGGGGGCAACAACAAACGATTGAACACCCAGGTTGGCATGAAGAAAAAGCGGGAGGGGCATGTGCCCCAGTAAACGCCACCAAGAGAGATACACACCGAGAGACGGGTTGTTCAGTTCTACGCGACTGGAAACGGGAGGAGCTTGAGCCTTCTGCAGCCGTCGAGCTGTCATGGCAAGAGCATCTCTACCCAGTCCACAGAATGTTGTGCTAGAGTACCGCTCTTGTTTGCCTCCCAAAACGCGCATCCCGCCGTAACAAGCAAAAACATGCCTACACCAATGTACACCAACAAAAATGTACGTTCGAACAGGGCCACCCTACTGTTGAGAGCTGTAGGATTCTTTGCAGAGACCTCAAAAACACACCGTGCTACTGCAGTCGCAATTGGAAGCACGTTCTCTCCAAGGTTCCAACCAAGCTATCTACCCGCAATCACTTGTGGCGACAGCCGCTATTGTTGCTATCCGTTCTCAACGACAGCTATTTTCGATTTAAGTGTCCCCTGACGTGCCTTGAGGTAGCCCCCCACGAAGTTGATCAGGCTCGGGCACTCCATGCTCGACAGCGTCTCCACCTCCTTCAGGAGCTGCGAGCGCTTGTCCTTGTCGAACACGCTGAACACCTTGATGGCGTACAGCTTTCGCGTCTCCACGTGCTGCGCGCAAAGGTCAAGTGTGAAGCGCGTCGTGTTGGATTGTGTTGAACTGCAAGTACCGTAATAGTCGGAGAGTTGGCACAGGGTGCTATCGTTTTTTGAAAGTTTTTTCCTCGTTTTTTTTTTCGCACTCCGGTGTCACCCCCGCAACAGCAACTGCAGGCCTGGGTTTTCGTCGCTTGGCAACGACGTCATAAAACAAGCCCCCCCCTTGGTGTTTGCCATTGAGATTGGGTTTTCGTCGCTTGGCAACGACGTTGTAAAACAAGCCAATTCACTTCATGAACTCGGCAACCAGGTTATCGTTTGTTTTTTTTACCTCTGTTTTTTTTTTGCGGTAGCCATAATGGTGGTCGAGTACATCATGTTGTGCTGGGCGGAGAACCCTCACTCCGCGCAAGGGGAATGATCGCACCACGTTGTGTTAAAATGGTCAAGCACCCTCGAGGCAGTCATACAGTGCTAACAACTGTCTCTGGAAGTGAAGTACCAGAAAAATAAACTCAGTCACACGCAGCTCTCATCCGTACGCAAGGAAGTAAGCACAAGATGCCGAA